GATTATTCGTAGAGAACAATATAAATAATGTGGCAAACCCACATGATTTATATAGTAATCTAGCAATAAATCAGTTATCATCCACAACCTAACCAATAGCAGTTTAATAAATATTTTTAATTCTTTTATTTTAACGAGAATGTACAATTACTGTAATCATTTAATCATTCGAATAAATTACCAGTGTGAGCACGAGGTTTAATTCGTTTCGCTTTAATGATTGGTTTCAAGACATTGATAAACCATAATCATTCTATCGTTCAATAAATTACAAAGGTGAATATGAAGTTTAATTCAATTCACTTTAACGATTGTGCTTCAAGAGAATGTGTGATTAACCATAATCATTTTAATTGTTCAAATAAATTACCAGGGTGAGTATAAATTTAATTTGATTCACTTTAATGAATATGCTTCAAGACATTTATTAGCCGTAATTATTCAATCGTTCAAAAAAATTATCAGGGTGAGTATTAAGTCAAATTCGATTTGCTTTAACGATTGTGTTTCAAGACATTGATTAGCCATAATCAATCAATCATTTAAATAAATCACCAGGGTGAGTATAAGTTTAATTCAGTTTACTTTAACGAATATGTTTCAAGATATTGATTAACTGCAATCATTTAATCATTAAATAAAATACCAGGGTGAGTACAAAATTTAATTCAATTCGCTTTAACAATTGTGTTTCAAGAAATAGATTAACCGCAATCATTTAATCATTCAGATAAATTACCAGTGTATGTTTCAAGATATTAATTAACTGTGATTATTCAATCATTCAAATAAATTACAGTACAAGGGTGAGTACGAAGTTTAATTGATTCGCTTTAACGATTGTATTTCAAAACATTGATTAATAAATTGTTCAAATAAATTACCAGGGTGAGAATGAAATTTAATTCGATTCGCTTTAACAATTATGTTTCAAAACATTGATTAATCAATCGTTCAAATAAATTATCAGGTGAGAATGAAATTTAATTCGATTTGCTTTAACAATTGTGTTTCAAGAGAATGTGTGATTAACCGTAATCATTTAATAGTTTAAATAAATTACTAAGGTGAGTATTAAATTTGCTTTAATGATTGTATTTCATAATATTGATTAACCGTAATCATTCAATTATTCAACAAATTACAAAGGTAAGTATGAAGTTTAATTCAATTCACTTTAACGATTGTGCTTCAAGAGAATGCGTGAGTAACCATAATCATTTTAATCTTTCAAATAAATTACCAGGGTGAGTATAAGTTTAATTTGATTCACTTTAACGAATATGTTACAAGACATTGATTAACCATAATTATTCAATTATTCAAAAAAATTACTAGGGTGAATACGAAGTTTAGTTCAATTTGCTTTAACGATTGTGTTTCAAGATACTGATTAGCCGTAATCATTTAATCATTCAAATAAATTACTAGGGTGAGTATAAGTTTAATTCAGTTCACTTTAATAAATATGTTTCAAGATATTGATTAACTATAATCATTTAATCGTTAAATAAAGTACCAGAGTGAGTACGAAATTTAATTCAATTCACTTTAACAATTGTGTTTCAAGAAATAGATTAACTGCAATCATTCAATCATTCAAAAAAATTACCAGGATAAATATGAAGTTTACAGTAGTTTGATTTGCTTTAATGATTATGCTTCAAGACACTGATTAGCTATAATCATTCAATCATTCAAATAAATTACCAGGGTGAGTATAAGTTTAATTCTGATTAACCATAATCATTTAATCGTTAACTAAAGTACCAGAGGGAGTACAAAATTTAATTCGATTCGCTTTAACAATTGTATTTCAAGAAATAAATTAACTGCAATCATTTAATCGTTCAAATAAATTACCAAGATGAGAACGAAGTTTAGTTCAATTCCTTTAACAATTGTATTTAAAAACATTAATTAACCGTAATTATTCAATTGTTCAAATAAATTACAAGGGTGAGTACAAATTTTAATTGATTCACTTTAATGATTGTATTTCAAAGCATTGATTATTCAATTGTCAAATAAATTACCAGGGTGAGAATGAAATTTAATTCGATTCGCTTTATCAATTGTGTTTCAAGAGAACGTGGAATTAACTGTAATTATTTAATAGTTCAAATAAATTACTAGGGTGAGTATGAAGCTTAATTAAATTCACTTTAATGATTGTGTTTTATAATATTAATTAGCCATAATCATTCAATCATTCAATAAATTACCAAGGTGAATATGAAGTTTAATTCAATTCACTTTAATGATTGCATTTCAAGAGAATGTGTGATTAACCGTAATCATTTAATTGTTCAAATAAATTACCAGGGTGAATACAAAATTAATTCGATTCACTTTAACGTTTGTGTTTCAAGAGAACGTGTGATTAACAATAATCATTCAATCATTCAAATAAATTACCAGGGTGAGAACAAAGTTTAATTTGATTCACTTTAATGATTGTATTTCAAGAGAATATATGATTAACCATAATCATTTAATCAATCAAATAAATTACCAGGATGAGTACGAAGTTTAAATTGATTCGCTTTAACGATTATATTTTAAAACATTGATTAACCACAATCATTCAATCGTTCAATAAATTACCAAGGTGAGTACGAAGTTTAATTAGATTCGTCTTAATGACTGTGTTTTAAGAGAATGTGTGATTAACCGTAACCATTCAATCATTCAATAAATTACCAGGGTGAGTACGAAGTTTAATTCGATTCACCTTAACAATTGTGTTTCAAGAGAATGTGCGATTAACTGTGATCATTTAATCATTCAAATAATTTACCAGGGTGGGTATGAAGTTAAATTCGATTTGCTTTAACAATTGTGTTTCAAGACATTGATTAACCATAGTCATTCAATCATTCGAATAAATTACTAGAGTGAGTACAAAATTTAATTCGATTCGGCTTTAATGATTGTATTTCAAGAGAATGTGTGATTAACCGTAATCATTTATAAATTACCAGTGCAAGTATTAAGTTTAATTCGATTCGTTGTGTTTCAAGTTATTGATTAATTGTAATCATTAAATCATTCAATAAATTACCAGGGTGGGTACGAAGTTTAATTCAATTCGCTTTAACAATTGTGCTTCAAGAGAACGTTTGATTAACCGTAATCATTTAAACATTCAAATAAATTACCAGTGTGAGTATGAAGTTTAATTCGATTTGCTCTAATGATTGTGTTTTAAAACATTGATTAGCCATAATCATTCAATTGTCCAGTAATTTACCAAAGTGAGTATGAAGTTTAATTCTATTCACCTTAACGATTGTGTTTCAAGAGAATGTGTGATTAACCATATTTACAATTCTAATGCAATAAACTCAACTGCGACTACATACTGTGATCATCGAATAGCAAGTTCTATAATAGAAATTTTTACTTCGAATTATGGTAAAAATTGACAATCTCAACTGTAACCACATTAATAAATAATTCCGATGAAGCTTATTAAAATTTAATTACATATCGCGTATATTGCAATAAATAATTAATTCTTTAACAGTAATTTTGATTAAACAAATAAGATGGGTGGCACTTCGCGCTACCCATTGAACTAGTGATTATTAAAGCCAACATATGTACGTACTAACACAAAGTAGCATGATAGCACGATGCAATATAGAAATGTGCTCATATTAAATTTCTCTCATAAAAAGTGATGGCCATTCAATGATCATGCTACATTATATTGAAAGTCGACATTTTCATAACCGTAATTTATACTGTACGCAAAATTTTAATCAAGGATACAAAAATAACCAGAGTTACGAAAAGAACTGCATGCGTGTGATATAATTGTTTGACGCATTCCAGTGCTAATAGCGTTGGATATTCAAACTTTATTATAATTAACAAAGATATATAGCATACATCAGTGCGTTTGATGTACAATTGGCATTAGCTGTGTGGTTTCTGCCTGCATAAATGCTGGCCGGCTATTAACCAGAAGCTTTTAAGTCACATGATTTGGCCGGTGGTTTCCCGCCTGTATAATGCAAGCCACCTTCACAGAAATAAATACAATTTTCGCAGAATTTTGTTTTTTAAAAATTTTTCTAAAATTTTTTCCGATGCTGTAAATCTGCGTTTTCACAGAACATTGCATATCCGAATAAAAAATTTTTCCCGATGTAATAAATTTTATTTTATTTATTTTAGCAATGAGATATTTATTAATGGAATTATTTATGTTTTTTTTAAAAATAATTACGTGCTGAGAGAAAACAATCTTAAATTTTGATGCTGCCATTTAATATTACAGTATCATCTAGAAAAAAAAATTTATTTGGAAAACAGGGGCGCCGGTGGCGCCCCATTCTACTCGTATTTACATATAATAGACATTTCACAACCACATATGGTAAGTCACGATGGTCAGTCCAATCGCTAAATAAATATATTAAAAGTGATCGGCCTATTCCCCTTGTATTACTTGCGCTGGAGTGTTATCTAAATTAGGGATGCTATTCTCACAGTTTACAAGAATTAGAGGTCCAATACTGTATTTTTAAAGTTTAATTTTTAAAGTTTACAAAGTGATACAAATCCCTTATTAAGACGAAATATTAACAGTAAAATTAAACAATACAGTACGTTATAATATTATAATATTTCTATATTGCCCACCTATACTATAGAAGATCTGTATTTGTGCAACAATACCCATTATATGAAACTCCGATTAAAAAGCATTTACGTATTTTTAGATGTTAAGATAATGCACATTTCTTTGAATAAAGATTAATTTGGATATTTGTTATACATATAGGGTTTACTAGTTCCCCCCACCACTTCACTATCGGAGTATTATAAAATTGATTAATAGCACAGATACTCCGATATGTGAATAATTAGTAGAACCAATCAGAAGTGGTGGGGGAATTAGAAAATTCATACATATAAAAAGGTTTTCATTCAGTTTGTGTAATTACGTATTTTACGTATTATGTTCAGCTTCTCATACGTACTGTATAATGAAAGGGATAAATCCTAACACATTGCTACTACAAAGTTTCAGTCAGTTAAAATCATTACCATTAAAGAATACGAGTAAAAAATCAACTAAACAAAAAATTGATGTCATTAAAACTCTTAGGGCTAAAAATAAGAGTTATACAAGTAAAATCACAAAAAAATCAACTGAACAAAAAACCGATGTTGTTAAAACTCTTAGGGCCAAAAATAAGAGTTTAGAAAGTAAAAATAAGAGTTTAGAAAGTAAAAATAAGGGTTTAGAAAGTAAAAATAAGAGTTTAGAAAGTAATAATAAGAGTTTAGAAAGTAAAAATAAGAGTTTAGAAAGTAAAAATAAGAGTTTAGAAAGTAAAAATAAGAGTTTAGAAAGTGAAGTAAAAAAGTTGAAAGCTGAAAATAAGAAATTGCAAAATAAATGTCAAAAGAGTTTTCCTTCTAATAGTGTTTCAACCTTTTCAAATGTAAAAATTGGAAAGGACTTTGAAAACGAAATTAGTAGGAATCTGGGTTTTAAAGGAATTATTTGTACCGTCATCGGTGGAAGCGGAGATTTCGGAATTGATATCTTTGCATCTTATAAGGGTAAATTGATTTTAATTCAATGTAAATGTCAAGAATCACCATTAGGTTCAGACGTTATTATCAAAATGCATTCTGCTGTTAATAGATTCGATGGGAGTTATGGTGTTATTGTTTATGACAGCAGGAAATTAGTTAACTATGATAAACCTTTAACAAAAGATGCGTTGTCTTATTTTCATGGTTTATGTCATCAAGTTGTAATTACCAACGAAAAAGAAATTTATCAATCTATCATTAACATGATCCCTTAAGTTATTTGTTATGACTAGTAAAATGGCACCATTTCGTGGGGCTGGAGCCTTATTATTGCATGTTTAGACTTGGAAATAAATTCATAATATACATATACAAGTGTTCTGAGGCGCCACTGGCGCTCTTTTTATACAATATAATTTGTGGTAATAAGTTTACCATATTTTTATAATTTATTATGGTTATCGCTCTTTTCGATTTAGTTGGATTGATGATCAGCACAGTTTTTTTGAGTTGATGAGTCCTGTGAATATGATGAGGATATCAATTCATCTTTATCATGTTTTGTGGGACTCATTTTAAAATTCTTATATTTCCCCTTTTTGATAAATAAATTAACGAATATAATTGTCTATCTTGTATTCACGGACTCACAGAATTCAAAAAAAAACATTATGCAGATCATCGATCCAACCAAATAGAAAAGAGCGATAAGGTATAGCATTATATTATAAAATTTTGTTACAAACCTTACTCGTTATTTCAGTGTTATGCAGCATGTAATTATGGTTTTTTGTAAAAAATTTCGTTATAGAACTCAATATTCTAGTAATGACGAAAAGGTTTATTAGAATTAACATAATTTTTATCATGAATTACTATAAAAAATTCTGTTACAAACCTACTCTACAGATAATACGTTTTAAGGTTGAGTTCGATTAAATTATTGTAGTTTCTATCATATTAAAAATTCCCATACAAACTTGCGCGCTATTCTAATAATTGCAATATGTGGTTAGAGTTGAGTTAGTTCGCGTTGGAATTATTATGATTTCTTTTATGTGTTATTATTAACCTCACTATTCTGGCGATACACCATATGTGACTCACTAACGCATGTCATTAGATTATTCACATCTCAGTTAATCTATATTCAAAGATACAAAGTGCACATAACAAATGAAGCACGATTTTTTAAATTCTGCTACAGAACTCACCATTTCAGTAATTACAAAAAGGTAAATTATTTTGTATTAGAATTCCCGTAATTTCTATTATGAATTACTATAAAAAATTTGATAACAAACCTGATTGATGGATAATACATTTTAAGGTTGTCTTTGATCTAATTATTATGGCTTCCATAATAAATTACTGTTAAAAATTCTCATACAAAATTTGTATACTATTCTAATAATCACAATACATGGTTAGAGTTGAGTTAGTTTGTGTTGGAATTATTATGGTTTTTATTATATATTACTGTTATAAACCTTACTATTTTGGCGATATAATGTTATCTACATCTAATTTCAAAGATTCAAAATACACATAACAAATGAAACATGATTTTTAAAAATTCTGTTAAAGAAATCACTATTTCAGTAATGATAAAAAGGTAAATTATCTTACATGAAAGTTCTCATAATTTTTGTCATGAATTATTATAAAAAATATGGTTACAAACCTAATCAACAGATAATATATTTTAAGGCTGTCTTTGATCAAATTGTGGCCTCTATCATGAATTACAGTTAAAAATTCTCAAACAAAAATTGTATGCTATTCTAATAATCACAATACATGGTTAGGGTTGAGTTTGCATTGGAATTACTATGGTTTCTATCTTATATTGCTGTTATAAACCTTACTATTTTGGTAATACACAGTATGTAACTCACTAATGTATGTTATTAATGTTATCCACATCTCAGTTAATCTAATTTCAAAGATTCAAAATGTGTATAATGAACGAAACTTGATCTTTTAAAAGAAAAGCAAATAGATTAACATTAATAAAAAAAATTCAATAGCACTTTGTCATTTTTAACGTGGAAAAATTTATTGGTTATAATGATTACTATTTTAGCATTAAACCTGCAATTATTGTGATTATGATTATTTGCATGATTAATTAATATAACAGATTCGTCATTTATTCTTAATTGATCTATTACTATAAATTATTCTCACAAACATATAAAGTACCACATACCCTTAAAGGTTAATTTACAGAATATGATACCGATACTATATAATATAAGAGCCATTAATGCTAATAATGTATATTAGATATAATCAATATTGTAAATTTCTCATGACATGTGATTGTGACTATTTATACTATCTAATTTTCACATGTGCAAAATGATTAGTAAAAATGTACAGGACACTTGTGACAGAACAATAATCTTATTATAAGAGTGATAATTTATAATTTTTGCATTATACTAGATAGTTTGAAATAATCCAAATAAAGTGTATAAATTTTGTATAAAATAATATTAGCTTGGAATTTTCTTTATTTCTATTTTTCTTTATTTGTAATTTTCAAGTATATAAGTATTTTTATCTAAGTAAAGATTTTTCTGATTTTTTATTTTAGCAAAAGTTACATGCATATAATATTCTTCTAAATAGTATAGTTCTATTAAAACCACTACTACAACTAAACTTTATTGTTAGAAATTATAATTATAAATTCCAAGTATTAGTAAAAAAAATTTATTATTAAATAATATTATAAAATACATACTAATTATAGCAAAAATATAGATTTTGCTATTTTACATGATGCTAAGAATATTTTTAGCAATATTGTTTCAGAACTTGCAAAATCTACAAAGAGCAAAAAAATATTAATAGCAATAAAAAAAGCAAAATTAAAATATTCTATATCACAATTAATTGATATTTTAGCTAATATATAAAATTAGTTTATCTTTGAAGAACTAGAATTTATAAAAGAATATTATAAAATTATCCTTAAAGTTTTTAATCTAGAAAACAATATTAATATTTTTATTACTAAAGTGGAAAAGATAATTAATATAGATATTGTTTGTTTATAATTTATACTTTTTGCTTTATGCTAAATAGCTTGAAATAATTCAAATAAGGTATATAAATTTTGTATAAAAAGACATATCAATTCAGATTTCTCTTTATTTCTACTTTTCTTTATTTGTATTTTTTTTTGTCTTCTAATTCTAACATAGTCTATTTGAGGTTAAAAACAGAATAGATATACTAATTGTAAAAAAAAAAGTTGTATTGTAGTTGATATTATTATAAATACAATATTATATATTGTAAAGCTCTGCTTAAAACTCTCAATTTATTATAAATAATAATAAAATTATACTTATACTTATTATTATTTATTTAATAAAAGGCTGCTAAACTTATAAATTATATTTAGAGATAAATTATTTTGCCTCTTAAGCAAATTAGAAAATTTTAAAAAAGTACAAATTGTAATATTTATTTTTAAGTTCCTTAAGTGTTGATTTTAAAGAATAGAAATTTACTATATATATAAATGCTATAAAAACAATTGGAGATCAATATAGATCTGCAAGAGTTAGTTAGTTTATACTAATAGTATACTAAAATTGAACTTAACAAATAACCAAGCTAAGATAGCAAAAGTGATATTTTTGCAAGTTGTCAAAAGATAAAACAAATATTGCTTAAAGATTTAGTAAAGAGATTTTATTTCATTTTTTTAGATTATTGATAAACTTCTAACAAAATTATCTCAAATTTACAAGTTAAAAACAACTATAAAAATCTTTAAATATATTAGTTACACAATTTGTTACATGTAAATTTATATATATATAAAATTATAAAAAAAACATATAAAATTACTATAAACTTTGATTCTATGATGTTTCTTCACCTACATATTAATTTAAAATTAAATTGTGCAACAATATATAACACAAAAAGTGAGCTTAGAAATCAAATTAAAATTTTGTAATTTTTGCAGATTTTAAAAATGCAACTCTATCAAAACTAAA